ATTCACAATAACAGCTTAAACTTCTTAAATACTGCACAGAACCTTCTCAACATATATTTAGTCTTTTGGTGTTTAAATGAATCAATGTCCCATCTAACTCTATCTGTTTGGGAGATATGAGACGTTTAATTTTCTGCAATCTGATTGGTCGGCAAAGAGTTATAATAAAAATCTGAACTTAAAGTCCTCATAGTTTTACCGTGATTCATTTGCTTACAGACTAAAGAGTTATAGCTAAGTTTTTCAAGCTGATGCGTTGGAAATCACTCGTAATATTGAGACATGTCAATCAGCCAAGCTGACGCTGATGAGGAATGTCTAGTTTATCCTGCGATAACTAAAAATTATTCAGAAGTAAAAAATACTGATGGATTATCCGTGGAATTAAACAATACACCACTTAACCCAAGCTCTGTTCCTCGACCTCTACGTTCCACCTTAAAAAATAAATCAAAATTCGATTCCGACAAATTTATACAAACTGATTTTAATAACTCAGAAAGAATTAAAATCTCCACTGTAAATACTAGTGGACAAAAAATCTTTGACAGCTCAATACACACGATACATAAATTAGACTTTATGGAGAAAAACGGTACTATGAAAAGTCAACAAACAACACTTAAAAATGACGTGGAAATATGTGACTCTGATCAAACTACTCCATGTGGATCTAAAGAACATTTAAAGAGGCCTTCTATACAACAATTAAGAAAGTACTCAGTCGTGGATCCAAATACTCTCAAATTTATAGAAGGTTAGGATTATTATTATTATTATTAACATTACTGTGTGTTATTATTATTATTATTATAACTGTCTCAATTGAATTCCTACTTCCTAGTTTTTGTTACATTATAATGTTTTATCATTTACTTTTCAAAATCTTAACGAAGTCAATCACTTTTCGCTCACATTAGCATCAAAATAGACTTCTTGTAGCATAACTGTTATTGAAGAGTTCTTGGAAGTCCATACATATCTAACAGTGAACAGTGAATAGCTTTAGTAAAATACCATAAATCACGCGCTCATTTGATTTCATCATAGATAATGAATGATAAGTGATTTTTAAGTAAAATTAATTAACCCTGTTGAAATATCAGATTGATTTCATTTTCTTTTATTATTTCAATAATATGAACTACTTATTATTATTGATAATAGTTAAATATTTGTCAATACGTTTTACCATGATATTGTAACAACTTGTACTAGAAACCATAAATTGTTATATTTTTAAGAAAATAATACCGTGTAGTGAAAGAGAACACAGGTGGGGCAACCGAATTGTATTTAACGAGAATTACAGAGTTACTCAGTAAAACAGGAAAAACATATCGTAAATCGTTAATTTGCAAAATATCAGTCCATCATATCGAACTGGACTGTTCCTGTTGTAAAACATCAATCCATTGTCACTATTCATGCATTTCATACAAATTCCATTGTGTTCTAACTCTTCCTTTCTTGATCTTCCCCCATGTTCTGCTGCCAGACATTACGTTGACGCTCACGTCATATACTACTTATAAGTAGCTCGCACCACAGCACCACAACCGGACTACTAAACTGATACACATAAAGTGAACTATTTAAAAAAATCAATTCGAACATTGAACATGTGGTTACATTCATTCTATGCTTGAAACTCTTCAGTAGTATGCGAGCCAAGTCTGTTGGAAAATGAATTCAATGTAGCTTTTTTTTCTTGATTTTCAAATGTTTCTATTATAAAAATTAACTTAAACATTATGCCTTTATATGGAATAGTTAGGTTTTTATTTAGAAGAAAAGAGAATACTATTTCATTGAACACCGTCGAATTGATGAAAACTTATGATTTTAATTAAAGATAACATGAAATGTAAATGACTCCAAACTGTCATTAATAAATTACAGATGATACTAAACAGAACCTGTACATTTTCGATTCTTTGCTAATATAAACTAGATTCTTTCATTCTGAAAGTAACAATCAAATGGGTTTATGCTATGTTACTCTACTGAATCGCTTTTCTGTTTACTAGTCATTGTTTGTGTTTTTTTACATTGATATTCATGACTACGATTTAATAGTTTCTGTCGACAAGTGTACATACTGGGTGAATTATCTCAATACAGTTTTTTTCTCTCTCAAACTACATTATCTTGAGATTGTATCTAGTATTCAAATTCTAAGGTGTTCTATAAAAATCTAATCTTCTGAATTCATCATCTCTTCTACCTTTCTCTCACTGAATTATACTTCTTCAATAATATCTTGGAACTTTAATCCTTTTCATTACCAGTAATATTTCTATTATCTTTACCACTATGGGATTTGAACTGACGGTCGCGTCTCTGTACTAATGTGGTATGGCAACCTGAACTGAGGTACTTATATATGAAGTTCTACGTTGTAACTGACTGACTAAAGATGCATATTTTATCCAGTTTGGGGATCATCTGGTGTATTTACTGTCATCTCATTGTGGTTGTTGTTCACAATGTTACTTGAATCCAGTACTTTTCTTTTCAAAATGCCATTGAGTTGTTCAATTCGAAATAGCAAATAAAAACACTTTCAACATTTCAATCCTAGCAACTACTCACTTCTGCCTAAACTTATAACTAAATTGAATTGTTTAACAATAACATTTTGATGACTTTCTAAACTTATCATTTCAGTAGATTATTAACATTATTAACTGAAGTGAACGGTTCAAGGTGTAATTAAGTATCAATGCAAACACCAACATTCGAAATCAGGTACATCCAAATTTATCAGCTCCAAATAAGGGCATAACGCTTATTCTGAATTCCATCGCTAGCTAAATTCTATTCTATATCAACTTGTTACTATATCGAGTCTATTCGCTCAGGATGCTCATATACTAACCAAGACAAACCAATGATCAATATTTGTGAGGTCATGTATACGTGCTGCTTTGAAGTCTCATCCTAGAACAAAAAGGCCCTCCAGTACTTTCAGGTTTTCACAGATGGCCTAACAATAATCGGTTCATAGTTTCAATGAAACTCAACAATCTTCACAATTGTAATTATTATACACTTATATACATTCTAACAGTGTTTTTTTTATTATTGATTTACTTACTTACTTGCTTACTCACGCCTGTTACCCCTCAGGGGAGCATAGCCCTCCGACCATTAATATTCAGCCTACTCTGTTATAGGCCTCACTTTCCAGTTCTGTCTAATATTGCTCATTTTTCTCATGTCTGTCAACATTTCTCGACATAATGTGTTCTTTAATCTTCCTGTTTTCTTTTGACCTAGAGGGTTTCAAGTGAGGGTTTGTCTTGTGACTCAGTAGGGTACTTTCCTCAATATGTATTCTGTCCACTTCCAGTACTTCTTCCTGATTTATTCCTTAGATAGAGGAATCTAATTTGTTCTATCCCACAGAAGGTTAGGGTTAGGGTGGTGTCTGGCCAACAGATTCGAAGTATTTTGGCTAGACAACTGTTAATAAATACTTGTATCTTCTGGATGAAAGATTTGGTAGTTTTCCAAGTTTCTGTTCCATACTATATTTACACTAAATAATATACTAGATGAATGATATTTCAATATATTCACATTCTGGATATTTAAAAGAAATAACCTCTATGATCTCTTCATTTCTATCACACCTGAATTCAATATCGTGACTTGATTGTAAGCATGCATATTTAATAAAACTAATGACAGTATCAATTTACAATTCATCTAGATCATCAATTCATTAGAACAAATTTAAAATACGAAAATTTGTTAACTGTACAATTTAAAAAAAATTTGGGCTAAAAAAATAATCTTCGATTCATTCAAACAAAGTATTGATTGTATGTTTACATTTGATGTTCACCATAACTGTATACATTTCTAATGCGTTAAAAAAAAAGAATAATAATTTCCCTTTATATTATTTGTCTAACATTCATTATGGGTCAGTAAAATTTTGGTATCAAAAAATATTTCAAAGTGTATGATGATAATTTTGTTTAAATTAACAAGATTTGATGTACAAAAGGTGATTGAACAATTAAGTTTTCGCGCTTTTTTTAATCGTTTTTATTATCATTTTTTTTTTAAATTAAAATAAATTTCTTCACTTATGATCATTTTAATATATAATTGAATATTGTAATCGTGAATCGGTCATTACGCAACCTCACCCATTGTTTTCAGTAGGTAACTATCTACACCGGACAAGGTTGACCCCCCCCCACCCACCCAATGATCACGGTTTCTCTTTAGAACTTCGATTATTTATTCATGAAGCTAGTCACTTGTGAGTACATTTTATGATTTTTTTTATTATAGAGTTATCAAGATTGCGCGAAATCCGCAGATTGGTCGAAGCTAGACATTCACACTGTCGGATGCTGGCTCGGTGGTTTTTAAGTTGAGCATTTGTGTGCGAGATCGAAAGTCCTGGGCTTGATTCCTGGATTTTGGATACTCGCTGAAGACTTGAAGGCCATCCGGTTTCTCCAGGTTTCTTATGATGGTCTAACAATGATTGATTTACGATTTCAATCTAAAACCACAATATCCGTCAAGTATAAATGAATATTGTGAAAATCAATGTGTAAATATATTTCAACATTGATAAGAGTCAAATCAATTTTAACCGCTGAATTTCAAAACCAGTAGACATTCTACGACATTTTTAGGAAAAAATTTTCATTATATATTCCCATTGAGACATTAAAAAAACAAGAAAAGTTTAGCGAAGAAATATTTCTTGCCAATTAGTTCAGCATCAAGGCTCTACAACTAAGTGAAACATGAATATCGATTAGATGATGATAAGACAATTTAACATCATGTTCGTAAGGCGAACATTAAAACGAAAATGAACTTACATTATATCTCATTATATGAAACATATTTAATGCATGAATTTCAATGTTTTTTTTTGTTTAAATTAAGAATTTAACAACCCTCATTCATGATTGTTTAGTTGAAATTTTTCAATATTCATTCAGCTTTCTGATAGATTGTAATCCTTAGATAAGAGCATGTATATTGATTACATGAACCGGTTAATTTGTTCATAGTTGATCAACTAAAAAATCTAAAAATTCATATCTGTTAGTAATTTGAATCGTTCCGTTGATAATTAGGACTGCAATGGACCCACCTTATTTGGCATATGTACATTCTGTGTGGATAGCCTATCGATGTAGTCATTCGGTCACAAATATTATCAACAGAGATGGATAGTGTTTAGCAGTGGAATTTAGGACGCGAGTTTTGTCCTGTCTGGGACTCATCAATCAGAAGCACATGTATTCCACAACTGATGTTCAACACCCGAATTCAGTACCATCCACTTCAAACGTCACCACATTATCCACTTAGCTACTGAGTTCATGTAGCAGTTGTCTTCATATATCGAAGTGAAATTCAATTCTTGAATGCAGGCAAATTAGAAACTTGATAAAGACTACAAATAACAACTTGTAACAACAATTTTTATCGAC